AGCGCTCTGCTTTTGGTACAGAAAACGCCTTTGACTGCAGAGCGTTTTGTTAGAATCTGTTGTGATCTGTCCCAAATTCCACTAGCCGGCCTGTGGGAAGAAGGGGGTGCCTCTGACTCCCCCCAGCTTGTTCATTGGCTGGCGGAATGTAAAAGGGCTGGTATCGCGGGTGCCTTCAGGGGAGGGCCTCGGCCTCTCTGCCCCGTTGCTGGCTCCCTGCAGAGGAACTGGCGGGCCCCTGTGTGAGACGGGAGGGGGGACTGGATGGACCCTCACTGCTCTGATCCCGCAGGGCTCTTCTGATGTTCTCATCAGGGGAAGGCCTCGGCCTCTCTGCCCTGTCGTTGGCCCTGCAGAGGAACTGGTTGGCTACTGTGTGAGACGGGATGCTGGACTAGAGGGACCCTCCCTGGGCTGACCCAGCAGGGCTCTTCTGGTGTCCTTATCAGGGGAAGGCCTCGGCCTCTCTGCCCTGTCGTTGGCCCTGCAGAGGAACTGGTTGGCTACTGTGTGAGACGGGATGCTGGACTAGAGGGACCCTCCCTGGGCTGACCCAGCAGGGCTCTTCTGGTGTCCTTATCAGGGGAAGGCCTCGGCCTCTCTGCCCTGTCGTTGGCCCTGCAGAGGAACTGGTTGGCTACTGTGTGAGACGGGATGCTGGACTAGAGGGACCCTCCCTGGGCTGACCCAGCAGGGCTCTTCTGGTGTCCTTATCAGGGGAAGGCCTCGGCCTCTCTGCCCTGTCGTTGGCCCTGCAGAGGAACTGGTTGGCTACTGTGTGAGACGGGATGCTGGACTAGAGGGACCCTCCCTGGGCTGACCCAGCAGGGCTCTTCTGGTGTCCTTATCAGGGGAAGGCCTCGGCCTCTCTGCCCTGTCGTTGGCCCTGCAGAGGAACTGGTTGGCTACTGTGTGAGACGGGATGCTGGACTAGAGGGACCCTCCCTGGGCTGACCCAGCAGGGCTCTTCTGGTGTCCTTATCAGGGGAAGGCCTCGGCCTCTCTGCCCTGTCGTTGGCCCTGCAGAGGAACTGGTTGGCTACTGTGTGAGACGGGATGCTGGACTAGAGGGACCCTCCCTGGGCTGACCCAGCAGGGCTCTTCTGGTGTCCTTATCAGGGGAAGGCCTCGGCCTCTCTGCCCTGTCGTTGGCCCTGCAGAGGAACTGGTTGGCTACTGTGTGAGACGGGATGCTGGACTAGAGGGACCCTCCCTGGGCTGACCCAGCAGGGCTCTTCTGGTGTCCTTATCAGGGGAAGGCCTCGGCCTCTCTGCCCTGTCGTTGGCCCTGCAGAGGAACTGGTTGGCTACTGTGTGAGACGGGATGCTGGACTAGAGGGACCCTCCCTGGGCTGACCCAGCAGGGCTCTTCTGGTGTCCTTATCAGGGGAAGGCCTCGGCCTCTCTGCCCTGTCGTTGGCCCTGCAGAGGAACTGGTTGGCTACTGTGTGAGACGGGATGCTGGACTAGAGGGACCCTCCCTGGGCTGACCCAGCAGGGCTCTTCTGGTGTCCTTATCAGGGGAAGGCCTCGGCCTCCCTGCCCTGTTGCTGGCCCTCCATGGGAACTGTCTGGCCCCTGTGGGAGAGTGGATGCTGGGCTTAGATGGACCCTCCCTGGTCTGACCCAGCAGGGCTCTTCTGGTGTGCTCTCCTTTTCAGGCTGGAGGTTCCTCATCTCCAGCAGTAAACTCTGGTGGGTTCACTTAAAAAGCAAGGAGTTGGTTCCCTGCTTTTCCTTTCCTGCTGTGCTCTCTTCTCCCCCCCGCCCCCCCCATTCTGTGACTGCTGACCTTGGATTGCAGCAAGGGGGAGGGGGTCCAGTGCTGGGTGCGGGGAGCCCGGAGTGGGCTGGGGGGGGGAGGACTTCAGGTGCGTGGGGGCAGCATCCCGCTCTGCGTTCTCCATCCCTGCCTGGCTGGGTCACTGCTGGTCTGCCTTCTCCCTCCCGCAGCCGCCTCCTTCCCGGACCGCCTGCTGGGGTTCCTGCTTCCGCGGCTGGAGTCAAGCAGCGAGAGGACGCGGGTGGGCACCCTCACCATCCTGCGGCAGATCATCAACAGTGCCCGTGAGTGTGTGTGTGTGTGTGGGGGGGGCTCAGGGGTCTCTCCGAGGCCCTCTCCCGTGGGGGCAGCCCCCAGAGGGGCTCTTGCGAGACCCTCCCTCAGCCCAGCTCAGCGAAGGTGCTTTCTGGCCTGGGTGTGGGGTGGGGGCTGTGTTCAGAGCCCCTCCAGGCCTTGAGGGCCACCTGCTGGGCTTCCAGGCTCCGTCCCTCCATCCCTGCCCTTCGTTTGGGCCCCGCCCTCCTTCATTTGGGAGCTAAAGCGGCTGACAGGATCATCGTTCTCCCTGCTGTTCCCGCAAGATCCCCGTCAGGGAGGTGGGGGCTGTGAGTGTGGCGGGCCCGAGGTTACCCGGGGAGCTTCCGTGGCAAGAGTGGGGATTCGAACCCGGGTCTCCCAGCTGGTAGTCTGACACTCAAACCACTGCTCTCTGCCGGCTCTCGCCACAGGCCACGGCCTTTGTCCCTCCTCGGCCAGCCTGGCAGCACCCTCGGCACGGGCTGTGGGTGTCACTGCTGGTTCCCCCTCCTTGCCTGCTCCGGAGACGCCTCCCTGCCGTGGCTGGACGCCGGGAGATGGCGGGGCTGTCCTCAGGGCCCAGGCCGGGGTCTGGCTCACAGCTCCCGGGGCTTCCTTGCCATCCCATCGCCTGCCGGTTGGGGCCTCTCTCGTGCCTCTCCACTATTCCACTTCTCGTCCCTGGGGAGCAGGGCAAGGCCCCGCCAGGCTGCCCAGAAAGGAGGCCTGTCAGGTGGGGAAGCCCATGGCGGACTGGGCCAAGGCCTTCTGTAGCTTGCAGAGGTCTGGTGACCGAGCCCTGGGCGGGTGAGGCGTGACAAAAGGGAGAGTGACGGCGTGCAAGAAGGGGGCCGGCTAGACTCTGCAGAGGGGGGACCCCGGGTTGCCAACTCCGGGTCGGGGAATTCCTGGAGACTCGGGGGGCGGGGTCTGGGGAGGCAGGGGTCTGTGCCATCCCTGCTGTCTGGAGGGAGAAGAGCTGGGCCGAGCGAGAGTCCCCCGTGTGAGCAGATTCTGCTCTGGGTCCGAGAAGCTTGGGGCCCGGCCCTCCGTGGCGCAGCTGCTGTCCGGGCCCCTCGGGCTGATGCCCGGAGTGGCTGACTGCGCAGCACCGGCCCGGGCTCCCCAGCGTGGGAGGTGGCAGCCAGGGCTGTGCCAGCTGCCATGGAGCCGGGGGCATTCCGTGCCAAGGTGTCCCCCGCGGCCCTTTGGCTGCAGCCCCTGGAAGTTCAAGCGATGTCTGGGGGAAGAGTCCCACTTCCTTCCCTAGGAGGCGGGCGTGCCTCACTGAGGCACCGGGGCCAGGCAGGAGGGGAAGGGGGTCTTGTGGTGGGAGCTGGGACCTCTCTCCCAGCCAGTTTGGTGTGGTGGTGAAGTGCGCGGACTCTGATCTGGGAGAACCGGGTTTGATTCCCCCACTCCTCCTCCACTTGCACCTGGCTGGATGACCTTCGGCAAGCCGTAGTCCTGATAAGAGCTGTCCTTGAAAAAGAGCCGTTTCTGCCAGAGCTCTCTCAGCCCCACCTGCCTCCCAGGGTGTCTGTGGTGGGGAGGGAAAGGAGTTTGTAAGCTGCTCTGAGACTAATTTGGGTAGTGAAGGGCGGGGTAGAAATCCAATCTCCTCCTCCTCCTCTTCTTCTTCTTTTTCTTCTTCTTCCTCCTCTTCTTCTTCCTCTTCTTCTTCCTCTTCTTCCTCTTCTTCCTCTTCTTCTCTTCCTCTCTTCCTCTTCCTCCTCTTCCTCTTCTTCTTCCTCTTCCTCCTCCTCCTCCAGTTTGGTGTAGTGGTTAAGTGCGCGAACTCTAATCTGGGAGAACAGGGTTTGATTCCCCACTTCTCCACTTGCACCTGCTGGGTGACCTTGGGCAAGCCGCAGTTCAGACAAGAGCTGTTCTTGAAAAAAAGAGCAGTTTCTCTCAGAGCTCTCTCAGCCCCACCTCCCACACAGGGTGTCTGTTGTGGGGAGGGGAAGGGAAAGGAGTCTGTAAACCGCTCTGAGACTCCTTTGGGGAGTGAAGGGCGGAGCATAAATCCAATCTCTTCTTCTTCTTGTTCTTCTCTCTCCTTCCCCAGCCTCGCAGATGGAGATCAAGAAGCCCTTCATCCTGTCCTCCATGAAGCTGCCTTTGCAGGACAACAGCAACAAGGTGAGTGGAGGGAGGCCGGGGAGGGGGGGCTGCCCGGGGGTCCCGTCTTGTGGCTGCTGCTGCTGTTCCCGGCAGGTGTGCCCACCTCCTCCGGCCACACCCCTCGGACGGCCCCCTTTGCTTGGAGCGTGCTGGGCTTACCTCCCCCCC